GTCAGCTGTTCGAAACTACCAGCTGCTCCGCGGGAGAAAGATGAGGCTTTCTACTCCCGTAAAGATTTAAACCCTCGGAAACCCTGTACAGGGTCGCTATGGGTCGGAACCGATTCGACGGCACTTAACAACAACAACATAGTGGTAGTGGAGTCCTGGTGTAGCGCTGTGGGTTAATGCGCTGGACTGAAAAGTCGCTATGAACCACAAGGTTGGCGGTTCAAACTCACCAGTTGCTCCTCTGAAACCCTATATGGAGTCTCTATGGGTCGGCACCAACTCATGGTGGTGGTAGTGTCAACAGATTGGTGGTGGTAGTGTGCTGTGGAGTCGGTTTTGACTCACAGTGACCCTGTACAGGGTTTTCCGAGGCTGTAAATCTTTACCGGAGCAGAAAGCCTCATCTTTCTTTGTACAGCTGGTATTTTGAACTGCTGACCTTGAAGTTAGCAGTCTGACTCATAACCACCATGCTACCAGAGCTCCTTGGCTACATAGTTGTTGTTGTTGTTGTTGTTAAGTGTCGTATAGTCAGTTCCAACCCATAGCGACCCTGTGTAGGGTTTCCGAGGAGTGACTGGTTAGCTTCGAAAATTGTTATTGTTATTTTTCAGCAGCATATTTGTGGCATGGGAAGGACTGGGTTGGTGAATCCCCTTTAGCATAGTAGCAACGTCCTCTCCAAACCCTAGAGGTCCCAGGGCCACACAGCCACACTGGGTGGCTTTAATTGTCTAACTGGGATATAGAGGAAGTTAAGTAAGTTTCAGCCTAGTTAGAAAGGCACACAACCCATTGAGGAGGGGAAGTCTTGAGAAACTTTTTTAGGAACTCCTAATACATTTTGATGGCAAAAAAGATGTGTCAGTTTGCTTTCCTAAAGATTTACAGCATTGGAAGACCTATAGGGTAATTCCACTCTGTACTCTAAGGTGTCTATGAGTTGGTAGTGAACCTCACCCCCATGGCAGTGAGTAAGCGTTTTCAAAGGAGCCCTTGTAGTGCAACGGTTAAGTGCTCATCCTCTAACCGCAAAGTTGTCAGTTGAACTTACCTATCCGCTCCTGGTGTGATGCTGTAGGATAGGCATTGGACTGTGGTTCAGTTCTCAGAAACCCTATACAGAGTCAAGGGCAACTCAAGGACGCTTAACAAATCTGGACCTGGAGAATTGTTGTTTTCATTGTTAAGTGCGGCCGAGTCGGTTCCGACCCATAGTGACCCTGCATGGGGTGTCCAAGGAACGGCTGGTGACTTTGAACCGCCGACCTTGTGGTTCAAACTGACCTTGCAGTCCAGCACATTATCATCCAGCATCATAGGGGTTCGAGGCTGTAAATTTTTACAGGAGCCGAAAGCCTCATCTTTCTCTAACACATAATCCAGTACGACACCGGGAGTCTTTTTATAATGTGGCATTGTAGAATAAGCACTGGGCCGAAAGCTTGGTTTGAACCTAAAGGTCGGCAGTTCAAGCTCACTAGCCAATACAGCGTCACTACGTGTCGTGTTGGAATGGATTCCACGGCAATTAACAAGAGCTCACCAAATGTTTTTAGAAACATGGCTACGTTTGATCCTCACAAACATACTGTTAGGGTGAGAACTGCCATCTCTATAACACAGCTGAGAAAGCCGATGTAACTCCAATTAGAGTTCCCACCAAGTAATGGGTTCGAACACTCCACATAATGCAGCACGCGCCTCTGTGACCAGAGAGCCCCTCCATCAGGCAGCGCGGTGCAGCAACCTTTTAGGTTCTGACCTCAATTATGCACGCCCCTCCCGTATGCACGCCCCTCCCGCATGCACGCCCCTCACCTGAGCTCGGAACTTCCCCTAAGAAAAGGGGACCCAGCAAGCAGCAGGAGGCTGAGACGCAAGCCGGAAGCTGTCACCTTTGACCTCGGAAGTTGCCTCTGCCATCAGAGGCGCAGTTCCGGTTAGGCGGCGAAGTTTGTTTACATTGTTCACAGGCTACCTTTTTCCATCTCGGGTTCCAAGATGGGGAAATCCTTTGCCAACTTCATGTGCAAGAAGGACTTTCATCCTGCTTCCAAATCCAATATAAAAAAAGTGAGTAAGGCGAACCCGGGGTTATCTAGTTTCTAGGAGCTTCTGGAGATGAGAGTGATGGTGTCTCTGGGATCCCTGAGGCTTCCGCTCTTACTCAAGACCCAATGCTGTCTTCTTTCTCCGTTGAGTTAACTCGCTGACGAAACTGGTACACATCGTTTATTCTACATCAGAGAGGAGACCGGCCCCCCTGTACGGTTCTATCAGCTACAGACTTAATGCTTAAGATGGGAAGACTGTTATTAGGGTTCTTCAGTGCTTCCCTGAGCTGTCTGCTTTAGTCTTTTCGGATCCCGGGGAAGCGCGGTTTCTGAATATTGCTCTCCTGTACAAAGATGTTGTTGTTGTTGTTGACGACCTGTTTATTTAAAAAGGAAAGCAAACGATTTCACTCGTTATCACCCGATAACTTAGGGTTTGTATGAAGACCTTGCTGAAGTTTAGCGTTTTAGGTGCAATACTGAAAGGCCATGTTGTTGTTGTTGTGTGCCGTGGAGTGGGTTCCGACTCATAGAGACTCTACAGGGTTTGCGAGGCTGTAAATCTCTACGGGAGCTGAAAGCCTCCTCTTTCTCCCGCGGAACAGCTGGTAGTTTCCGAAGGCCATAGTTCATACATAATCCGATCATTATTCGGGAAGTAGAATGGTGAAGTAGAAAGAGTCTGAGTTTTGGATTCTAGTTATCTAAGCACAGTCACTTTTAGCTCTGAGACCTTGAACAAAAGAATATCTCTTAGCTTCAGTTTCCTAATCAGTAAATTAAGAAGGATTAATATCTGTTGCCTTGGCGCGTAAGATTTTAATGAGAATAAAGTGAGATGGTGGCCACATAGATGTGCTCCGTGAAATATACACATACTTGTGAAAATGAGCTTTTACTTTTTTTTGTTGCTTTTAAAAAACCATTATAGCAATGAGATGTTGCTGTACCAAGCTCCTTCTCTAGACCAGTGTTTCGCAATCTTTTTTCATTCTCCTAATGAAAGGAGCTCTGGTAGCGTAGTGGTTACGAATCGGGCTG